ATGCAAAAACTGTTTTATGCTTACATATATTTTCATTTTACCCCAAAATATAAGACTTTCCTGCCAAAACTGCTTCAACCAGACACAAAGCCAAACACTGGAGAAGATATGAACCCTAAATGAACTTTCTTCCTGCCAACAGGAACCTGACTCATCACCGCTCCAGATCTCATGGCTTTATGGACCTATTTGATGATCTGAAAACAAAGAACGGCATCTCAATTTTCAGATCAAAAAGGGGTAATATGTTGTGCCATATGTCATGATCATGCTTTTTGGACATTGGAAAACCAGTGTCTATATTTCATCTTAAAATGATGATGAGAGAAGAAAAAAAAAGTTTGGTGAATAACCAGCTTTAAGATCGCTCCAACACCCCATTTTCAGCCAACCCCTCCACAGGCAAGTCACATTGCAGCTCACACAGAGGTGTGACTTCCCAGTCTCCTCTGTGTGAGGACAGACAAGAACCACAGAACATGCTCTTTTTCTCTCTTTTTTCCCACAGAGCTGCCTGGATGCACACTGGGAAGGCAGCCAGAGTGGAGATCTGGGCCCAAAAAGACCTAGATCTCGAGAATCATCAAGAATGGGTCATTGTGGTAAATTCTCAGAACCAAACTGCTGCAAAACAGACCTTTTGCAACACATTTATCTTGAGTTTCAGAACTTAAAGAGCCAGACTGGATGAGAAGCCTGCCCTGATGAGCCACTGAGACAAAGAGGACCCTTGCTGTGAGCCACTGAGACAAAAGAGAGCCTGCCCTGACTGCTGAGCTGCAGCTGGATGAAACTCAAGCCTTCCAAATGGAAATGGACAAAATGGTTTGCAGGTCTGGCATGACTAGGGACAGAACAAACAATATGTCTTTTGATGATGTTGATCATTTCATGTGTTTTCTGATAAGTAAAGACAACGCTAACAAAACGGACTGCAAGCACCGCTATGCTATACAGAAACATGTGTTCAGCTGTTGCTGGAGCTTGGACAAGCTTTGTTTCACTAAGGGTTTAAACACTAATATAACATTAGAGGTCATGTGTTCCTCACATGCTCATTACATTTTGATTACCAAGTTTGACCAAGAGTCATTTAGTGGAATCCTGAAGTTTATTCGCTGCTATCTATTTCAAAGAGGATAAAGAATAAAAGAATGAGGGGAAGATGGAGCGGGAGATCGATAGGCGGATTGGTGCGGCGTCTGCTGTGAAGCGGGCCCTGTACTGCTCCGTTGTAGTGAAGAGAGAGCTGAGCCAAAAAGCAAAACTCTCGATTTACCGGTCAACTATATTCCTACCCTCATCTATGGTCAGGCATGTCCCACCGGGAGGAGGCCAAGGGGGAGACCCAGGACATGCTGGAGGGACTATGTTTCTCGGGTGGCCTGGGAGC